TTCTAAGTAGGATTTTACCACTATCGTTAACTTGCTAGTTATACGCTTGCCATCATTTTGCTTGTATAAACGTATGTCCTATAGTTTCGACGGACTCAATAGTGAAGCGTCACTTGTGCACTTTTGGTATGTCCATGTTCAACCGAACGAAAAACAGCATTTCATCCACTTTCCTCTTGAGTCTTTGAACCTCGTTAAGACTACCACGCATGAATGTGCGCACTTTGCAGCAATTCGTTCAACAAGCAGTACTTGCGCGGATAGTAGAGATCCTATCGATCAATATCTACTGCTTACTGAAATCCCGCCGCAGGATTCAAGCTCTGTACTCATTGTACTATCTCTTTCCAATGACGATGACCAAGATTTTTTATTGTGTCAATACACAGATAACGCAACCACAAATATTGGTCAATCAGATGTGGGTATGTTTCCGAGCTTCTGAGCTGAAGTTGCAATGATTGACAGAGTTCTGCTTAGTAGCCGTTTCTGTGCCGTCCGACTATATGACTCTTCCATGGCTTCGAACTATTGAGGGGACTATCATTACCTAGTTGTCACCGCTGCTTACCCCTCACCAAATGTATTAACGGATGGGTGAAAGATGAGCTCTGTCCTCAACTGGCAGTGCTTTTACGTCTCAGAAGAAGTAGTGCTAATGAAGTGCTGGCTGGTTATCTGATTGTCCAAATTAGAAATTACACACTGATGAGCTGATTCTGCTCGTTCAACGAAGGTTGGACTCCCTTAGTGATAACGGTGATCGGTCATCGCAACTATCCTTCACTTTTATCGCGAGTACTAACTTCCAAAACATCCCAGCTGGAGGATAACATGGTGCCAACCAGTCTCCGACCAGGATCCTATTTCCAAAATGGCTCACGTACGAATTGTGGCACGCAAGAAGGTATCAGACTGACATCGACCGCCTCTAAATCCCTGCTTTTGCTTTTTCCATCAACTGACTGGTGCCCGTGAAAGCTAAATTCGTGAAGATCAAGCAGGGTTTTGTAGAAAGGGACGCTTCACTGAAAAAATCTTCTCTGTGTCGGTTGCTCGATCAACGTCACTCATATTCGCGATCTAACCTAGTCGCGCTCCCTGTTATATACGTTTTATTGGAAGCAACATATTGATTTGCTCTTCGGAATGGTTTGCTCAGGAAGGTTGTGCCAAAGAAACAAGTAAACATCATTTAAGTGCATCATTCACGTAGTTCGGTTACAGTAGCAGATTAGGACTAATTGTCGCCGACCTTCAATATCTCCGGTGATAAGAAAAATGCATGCCGGCTATCACTTTTCATTTTCCTCACTCATTGATCCTGATATCAAAATTGCATCCACCGGACACAATGCGAAAGCTGTGGATCCGCTCCTATTGATTCGACTTCTCCACTTGTAGTAAGCTGATGTTATTTCTGTAACTTGCGACCGCACACAAACATGCTAAGGATCACTGAACAGATTATTAAGGGCTGTCAACCATTTCGGCTACGTTTTGCGCCTGCAAATGCGAGGATTTCCAACAACATTGGCAGGGACGACTACCTGCATTGACCCTTGTTGGAGTCGGCTAGAAGTATTTCACAAATCCAACCATCTGGGCAGCTGTATCAGCCACTGTGGAATAGATGTGTAGAGCAAAATCGTAAAACAAAAGCTAGATGTGTCTTTGCCATGCATCGCTACTTGTGGAGCCGTATAATCTTGCCCTCGCCCTGAAGCTTATTAACTTCAATGCAGTCTTGCGTTTAACGTTCCTGTACAGTTGTAAATCCTGGTGTCCCATACTGCCAGACTTCAACAGGTTGGTTTTGTTCCATCACTGGCTCCCTCACAGTTTAGCCCATGTATTATGGGAACCGTGCGTGATAACGAACGTGACCGGCGTTTTGGTTATGGCGTATGAAGAGGAAATGAACCTCTTCGCACCATTACGTCACGCACTATGCAGCGATGTCACTGCCACATGTTACGCATGCAAGCCCACCGACTCCGCAACATAGATGAGAGAAGAGGAGGTGAAACTAACCGATGACTTGGTCAGGAGAATAGAAGCCCCCACCTCACGCCTGAACTCGGGTGGTGCCTATCAACTCCTGGGTTGGGTTCCCAAAGACACTGAGCAAGTCTAGTTGGCAACATTTTTTCCATGGCCATTAGTCGATCTCAGTGGAGTTTGTGTCGCTAGCTGCTTTGACCCGCCATCCACCTTAACCTTTCCCGGTAACAATGGTCACAACAAAACGGAATAGTATTTTACAGAGGAGGGGAGTTGAATGGTATTGGTAGAAATTCGTCACATCTAGATGCACTCATCATCACACACCGGGAAACGTACTGCACTTGTGTTTCATCCTTTCCGGGATCGTCAGCAATGCGCATTCCATCCGACCCTGGTAGGGCTCAAACCCGAAACCAGTGCATGGTTGAGACCACTGAGCTACGGGGACCGCAACGACCATAGTGAAAAAGTTACCATAGGTGATATAGTGCCGCTCACTATCCACTGACTTGCACGTTACTGTCGTGCAGATTAGTAAACTGTGGGGTTGTACTGGAATTTCCGGTGGAGAATCCTCACAGTCATAATCAGAGGATCACCGCACTTACGGAAAACCAGTGGACGGCCATATCTTTAGTTTCATTCTTTGTTAGTCTCATCTACTTCTACTCCCAGCAGTACAGCAACCGAAGCTCCTCTCATCTCTAGTTCGCTTGCTAAATGATGATGCCGATAACGATTTCGTTAGATGTTACAATTCTCGTGCTTGTCATAATAACAGACTAGTCTAACAATTGTGTCGGAAAGCAGAGACGACTTTACTAAGATACATAACATTAATGGCCTCATTACTTCGCAGTCTTTTAAACGAGAAACACGCATAAAGCCGACTGTTAGACGACGGATGTTGCATAAATCTACGTGCATCCTACTGATGCTCGAAGGGACTTCTGCAGTGGTGTATTCTCGAAGAACGATACAGCAACCCAGGCAACTAAATCAAAGACCATATCCAATATTATGTAAAGATTCCACCCCACGCCGGCCCAACCAGGTAACAATAGCTTGTAACTACGATGTAACGTGTTTGCAAAAGCGTTCGGCTTGCTTTGTCATTCCCGGAGTAAAATTATGGAAACAGTTAGTACTAGTTTCATATTCCGGACGGCACTTTGTTAACAACACATGACCTGCGTTTCGGACATACTAAAACCGGAGAACTACCCTTTGATACCTCGCAGTCTTAAGGTTATCCATAGCAACGTATAGTAACCGAATGAGTTCACGGAGTGAGACCGAAAGATAACAATCCGGAAGAAACCGGTTACCGTTAATGTGCTTTTCAAACACAATCGCATAACCAGCGTCGCCAATAGTAGTATAAGCTCTTTATAGCTACCAATGTGCGATACACCAGAACTACGGTTGTCCTAGTCGATTCGGCCTCTACTTACATGTTAAGGGCATGCTCTATGGGGTATCTAAATTTACACTCTAGTTACAAAGAAGGACATCTTGAGCGCAATGAGTGATATCCGATTTTCATAATCAAGGAACCATGTAGAAGTGGTTACGAAAATATGTGAAGTCCACTACATTTAAATCGCATGCATGAAAAGCCATGGCTACCCAAACCATCTCCAGGCATTTATTAAAATAGGTTATTCGGTCAATGCCAACGCAATCCTTATGCGCATTCAAAAGTCGTACTATATATAACTCGAGGCCATTTCTGTGGATGTGTTGGGGCCACCGATTGGGGTGATCCAGAGCATAGCAGTACACCAATCGCATTCACATACTCTTGTGATTTCGTGAGTGTTAATTGTTGCAGGCATGTGACTGAGAAGAATGCACCAAATGTGTGGAGAAACCCACAACATGTGTGGTCGGATGAGCCTATTTGGATCAAGCGTCGCCCTGAGATAGGCTGCTTTATACTCTGGACCAGGGGTCACCAAACTACAGTCCGCTGGCCTCATCCAGTCCGGCTTCGTAAAGCTAATAGAACACGAGACGTTGCGGTACAGTTTACATTTGTCACTGCATGTCGAGTTGTCCGTGACTTTGTATAGTTGGAACACTAGCGTGAGCCAGCTCATGGTCGTCACATGCGACACAATACCACCGTAGTATTAGTGACCCCACATCGTTGGAACATTGAGATGAGTGATCACTAATAAACCCCATTCATCAGTGATCTCCACCTCATTTCTGTTTACTTTACACATTTGAGTCGAAATTTTTCATTGGTCAGCTCCTTTAAAGAGTGCGTTGTATAAAACGCCAATTATTAGGACGTCAATAGTTTATGCATGTGTCATTTTGAAGCCAGCCATTAGAAAGGAATTGCGTTTTTAGTACGGATTTGTGTTGGAAGTAAAAATTATTGTGGTTCGAACAGTTTGGCATTGTTAACTGCATGTTAACAGCGTTGGTACCCATTTCCAGCACTATATATATATATATATATATATATATATATATATATATATATACATATAGACATCAGAGGTATTCCATGATTGAAGGTACCAATGAACTCTGTCTATCTCTGGTGGGCTAATAGCTCTAATAATGATCGCGAGTTCTCTGTTCTTCCGGTGTAAAAAGAAAAGTGTGCTGGTGTTTGTAGTTTGATATCACTGTTTGTTCATATCCTTTATTTCCGTCTTCACTTAAGCCTTTAAGAAAAGTAGTGCCGACAAAGAGTGTCGTGTCTTCTTCGTTCCTTCTCCCAAAATTCTCGTTCTGCTCTACAACTGTTATGCATAATTATTATTCTTTCCACGCAACCATTTTGTCAGTTATCCTGCCCTCGCTGGCCACTTTTTTCTAGTTATCCGGCCCGCTGTGAAAACGGTTTCGTGACCTCTGCTTTAAACTACAGTGAACTCTATTTCAAATGCCAACTACAGCCGGTACCAACCAATCATGTTACCGTTCACTTGCATTGTGCGATTTCGTCGCGTTTACCCCTCCTTTGCTTGCAGACACTTATGCCTGGATGACAAGAACACTGTTGCGTTTCTCGTCGATCATTGAAAATGTTGGCACAGATGTATTCAAACCATTGGAAGAGCCGGAAAAATGGGAATGGCACGCATGCCACATGTAAGCTTGGCTTATTGAACATCCGGTCCGTAAATTTGCCACAAAATGAAAACCGACTCAATCTGAGCTGGCCGTCTGTAGTATCCACCTTCACTCGCAATGTCTGTGAGACCGAAAGGCGTCTAATGATATATATTTTTGTCTCGCTGTCACCGTGTTGAATCTCCCAGTCTTGCAACATGTGGCCTTAACCCAAATGATGTCCGAGAGTAGCTGAAAACCAACAATTTTATATAAATCAAGACGAAGCCGCGACAAGGAGGATATGTTCTGAAAGTAAGAGAGAGCATTTTACGGCACTGTAGTCCGTTAGAGTTAAATTATCTCTCTTTCTTAACTAGATAAGCCGAATTATGATTGGTAGACGTCTATATCTTGTCTTTTGACTTTCCCCTTTGTGTTGTCTCGCTGTACTCCTCACTTGGAAACGAGGAACAGCTGCCACACTTTTCTTATGGGTTAGACGAGTTGATAATTTTTGTGTACGGTTTCCAACCATTCTGCGCACTGTGAGAAAATTGCTGAGGTGTCTGAAACCTTGCGAGCACGTTTAGTTAACATCTTAAACGCCAGTATCACTCCCCAACTTCGGCGCACCTGTAGATCTAATGAATTAAGACCATAAAGGGACAGATAGAGGCCATTTGCTCGCCTCACAGAGTCTACGGAGCACATACACTTTAGCAATATAAAGCAGGCACAATATTCTCCTTGCTGGCTATGCACTGTTAAATGAAAACCGTAAATATCTATTAGAATATCGCAATCATGTGGTATAGTTTATCGTACTGTCGAATCTGGTCCGGATTCGAAGCAGGATAACAACGGCCTATATACCATTATTATTGGCCTACCCAACCGGCATGTCAGACCATTTGACTATTTTTCTTATGCACGGTGAGTGGTTTGTAAAGTAGCTAACTTTCGGAGTATACAGCAAGACTCTCAATCCCGTCTTAAACAAACCTTTATACGACAAAAATGAATCATAACATGGTCACAGCTTGAAGCAAATAAGGAACAAATGAATAATGAACAGTGATTTATCACTGGATAAAAGCAAGTGCTTGACGCGTCCCGTAAGATATTTGGGGTGAATACGATGAAATCACAATATATTTGGGTCATCTACCGAGCGTCTACCAAGGTGAATGCTTTGCTAAATAACGTCAGTGTAAAATATAAAAAATCGAGGTTAAGCGTGCAGTACTGCACGGAGTGCAGTGGTTGTTGATATAAGGAGTGTGGAAAGTAAATTATGGTCGCTCACTTGCATCCATTTGATACATAACTTCTGTTGATTGGCATGGTTGGCGTAATCCAGCATGGCGTAGTTTAGGTACTAAAGTGCTGGGAGCTAAGAGTAACATTTACTCGTTTGTGGAAAACCACCAAGGTAGGGGATGACACGACTGAGTTCGGGAGTGCGTTCCAGCGTTGGCAAACCGGAAGAGAAAAGTAATTACGTTGACACTCTAGATGGTTTTATTGTTCCTTCAATTTCACGCAGCTACCCCTGAGCTGCGTGTTGTAGCTAAGTTTAAGATTACGGCGGCATAAGTGGTTGTGGTCACTTAATATTTTGTACGCTAATATGAGGTCGCTGCGCAGCCTTCGGTAGCGTCCGCTGAAAATTCCCAGCAACTTCAGCCTCTGGTGGTAAGCGTGATAGCGCAGGCCCTTAACACTCTTTTTTGCCTTTTGTTTTGGTTCCTCTAGGCTTGGGTAGCCTATTCAACTTGCGGAAGCAGGTAGGACTTGTAGATCATTGGGAAGCTTGATGCATCAGATCTCCCGTATGCCCTTCGCAGCAAGCCGGCTTGCTGGTGGCTTCTTTTTGCAGGTACCTCATCCTGTTTTGAAAAGTTGAGATCACCCTGTACGAGCGCACCAAGGTCACGTTCCTTGGAGCTGGTCTGCAATCCGTGCGCCTCACGCAAATACTTATAGTCATGTCTAAGGCGTAATTGCACAACGCGACATTTGTCTATGTTCTATGGTAGGGTGTTTTGAACTGATCAGTTCGACACCGTGTTAAGATCGAACTGGAGCCATTCGTGGTCGTCCAGTCCTTTGATGCTTCGGCATATTTTGATATCATTCATAAAAATAGGAAATCGAAAGCAAGTGATCTCGCCAACGCATTAATGAACATCAAGAATGGATGAGGTCCAAGTAACGTGGCTTGTGATACACTACACACCATATCGATTGCACGGAACTGAGTTTCCCGAACCCTTAACTCCAACCGTCGTTCGTATAGAAAATTGCTAACCCAACTCAGGATTACGTCGCCATTGCAGTAGTTCCAAAGTTTATGAAGGATAATTTGATGATCTAAGTGATCAGACGCTTTTGTGAAGTCCAAGCAGATGACATGGACTCCTGATCCATCACTAACGGCTGCAGTCCGGCTAATACGTGCAATTAATAAGTTAGTAGTACAAGAACGCTTTTGACGCAAACGATTTTGCTCTGGGGGGATTAAGTTGTGGCATTCCAGATACTGCATTAGCACATCGGCGATGATTTAGTGCATAACTTTGGATAGTACATACATTAGTGTTATTGGAGGTCGTTGGTAGGATCAGTGCGGCTACCTGCCTTATGTATAGAAGGGATGACCCCTCGCTTCCATACTGGTGGAATATGGTTTTCCTCTATAAACGGCTGATGGAAAACGGCCAGTGGTTCTGCCAGATCACTCGCTACTACCTGCAGAGTCTTCGGTCGAACGTTGTCGACTCCAGGATAACTGTGGATACGCAAGGATAAGAACTTCTTCAGCCAAAAAACTGAATGCTATGGGGTGTCCGATCAAAGAGTGCACTCCTCAAAAGGACTTAGGAATAACCGCGAAATTAGCTCAGTTTTAATGTTGAAGGTTGGGTGTTATGGTACCCGCCGTGAGTCTTGGGTTACGACATGCAATCTCAGTTGTGGTCTCGGTTGACTTTGAAGTCGACCTCTGTCACTCCGATTAATGAGAGCGCATCAGACCGAAGTGGAGGGTTTCGGTGTTGATCTCGCCCAGTGCAGCGATGGAGATCAACACCGAAATCCTCTACTTGCTCACCTTTAATTCCTGTTAGCTTGCTGAAACTTCTGACACTATCACGCTCTATCTTCTGTTGGTCGCTTTAACTTAAGCAGCAATATCCGTCCAGCATCTGAGTGCGGTCGAAAAATTTACAAGCTGGATTTTATGCTAACAATTTATCGAATCCGGCAGGCGTCAGTAGGTGTAGTTAGGTGGCGCGTTCTACTAGGACATCACATCCGTGCTACACTTATCCGGAAGTGGTTGTGCCTATCTTACTGAACGAAGCTGCGAGGAAACTTGACAAAAATGTACCATCAAAGGGAAGCCTTCACCGAGTCAAATGTAAGTTCAAGTGTAACTTCGTAAACAAACGAATCCCATGAGTGCTCCCACGTGAACGGATCGTTGAGCCAAAAAAATGATGTAATGCTTTTAGGTCTTGATGGATCTGAAATGAAACTCCCGAGACATGCTCTGGTCAACCAGTCATTGCCCATGTTTCTTGCACTAGCAGTCCCCGCTATGCAGATCACATGAAGTAAGCAAGAAATAGGGAGCAAATGGATGGTAAGGGACGAGGAAGGTCATTTCAATGAAGGATAAAAACAAGTAATGTTGCAATGCACACAAATAACATCAGCGGGAAACTGTAAATGGTCAGAAGGGAAAAGTTTCGCGTTGCTACCAGAGGCCGTCCAATTTGCCCTGAAAACACTTAACCATTTTTCCCTGTCCACACGTTTTTGAATCGAGCTCCAAAGCTGGATCAGTCTACGTGATGATCTATTGTTCGCCATGATCCGGTCAGAAAGTGACTTCTGTAGCTTCACGGGATAACTGCCAATAACAGAAAGCCTAGTCGCGCTAAATAGCTAGGACTTGTCGGCTCCAACCTTCCCAGTTAAAATCCGGTACATGAGGATCAGGTATCCTCGAAGCTGTCGGTAGTTCCTTGCACACACATTCGATCTAAGTAGGCGCATGGTGTACACCTTTCTGTTTAACGCCTAAACCAACCTAGTACCCACTCGCAGAACCCTCTAGATCTCCATTTTGTCTCAAACAAGGCAGAGCGATTAATCTTGGATACAGTATTCTACTTTGGGCCAAACAAACTTCGAGAAGAGCTGCACTAAGAGAAGGCTAGTTGAAACTCAGAAGAAATAAGCTATTAAACACAGCATTCGTAACCCTTACTTGGGGCCTTCTTTTGGTTGTCGACTGAATGCAAAGTCGAGAAATGGATGACGCCCAGGTTGATTGGTTGCAAATAACGGGGATTTAAACCCCGCCGAGCAAGTGTCTCGAAGGGAGAAGAGATGCACCTATTGGAAGAACGGAACTGTTAGCCAGCCTAATTGGCAGCAGCTACAAAGTAGACCAGTCTCAGAGTGTATCCATGGCGCGTTCAATGGCTTCATGCCCCCAAGGGACCTCTACATTATTCCACAGCTTCAGGACATCAGCAAAGTAGCAGTGACACCCAAAGTCCACCAGAGCAATCGTTTTCATAGATGGAGAACAGCATCAATCCAAGGACTGAGTCTCCCGGGACATCACTAGGGAAAGACTGCCTACATGATAGGCAGCGACACACGCGTACAGAATCCTCTCTTCCCTGCAGGATTGCGGAGACCCAGTAAAGGTTGCGTCCAGATACGCCGTAACAGCACAGTTGTTGATAGCCAAAAGTTGGGTACCGCGTAAATGCTTTTACAAAATCCATCAAATGCAAGTCTCTTAAGTAGCCAATGTCCATAGCATCAGCCTAACTTTCACGAGCTAGCAACAAATTCGTTAGATACGAAAATCTTCAGGAATCCGTGTTGTGCATTACTGAGTAGAATAAATCTATTCCTGTGACTCTCCAACGAATCTCACACTAGTTTTGCACGAAGTTTGACTACGACGCTAGGCAAATTGACTGGGCTATAATTTGCAGACAGACACCTGTCGT